AGAAGGTTAGTAAACTAGGAAGTGGCAGAGCCTGGGAGCTCCTGGCTCAAAGCAGCCCTGAAATTTCCAGCTATGCCTGTTGGCCACCCAGCATCAGGCTAAAGACCCAGGAGCCCCTGGGCTAAAGGTGGGAGGGTTCAGCATTAGGGAAATTGAGAATGCCAGGGCAGCCCGCTCTTTAGAGAAAGAGGTAAATGGAAGGCAGGGTGGGCTCCCAGGGGCCCCCCATGAAACGGAGGGACTGCTGACAGAGGCCAGAGCTGGCTTACTTGGACTTGTTCCTCAAATGAGGGATGTGGGCAATGGAGGGTGGGGGTAAGCAAACCCAAGGGCAGGCTGTCCATCTGGTCTGGCCACAATGTGGTGGGAGCTCCAGGAGCAGTCTGGTATTTGTGGACTACCTGCTGTATACCTGGGCCCTGACCTAACTTTCCAAATTCAGGACAAAAGGAACAAATGTTTGCTGTTGAATGAACTGCTCCCCCCAGCGGCCTATAAGGTTGTTATCACCCACCCTGCAGGGAGACTCCGGAGGGTGTGACCCTAGTTCCCTGGGGGTCAGGCCTGGAAAATGCCTGGAGCTGTGAGGTTGGGGGTCACAGCCCAGGGCCTAGGACGCCACCCACCACCTTGGGCTGGATTTTCACTCCTGCCCTGACTGCGCAGGTCAGCCCCATCCTTGTGTTAGTGCCACATCTACTAAGAATCCCAGCCCCCCCAGGAATGAATAAAACCCCCAGGTCCCTGCGCTCAGGAAACTGTCACTCTCCCTGTCTCTAGCCTCAGTCTTCTCTTCTGTGAAATGGAACCCACCAGGCCCACGGCAGGTCAAGCCCCCAGAGGGGAGCTCCGGGAGGGCAGGGGCGGGCTGAGATTTATTCACGGGTGGCGCCCAATAAATGCTTGTTTGAGCAGGACTAGCCCTCAATAAATAACAGCTGTTGTCGATGCTGGCGGTGGTGCCGGCGAAGAGAGTGGGCTCTCCCCTCCCCCACCCTCCGCCCGCTCCCCGCTCCCTCCTCCCCTCCGCGCCCCATTCCTTCCCGTCACCTCCCCACACGACGGTGCCTCCTTCTCCATCCCCCACCTCCTCCCGCCACTTTCCAGTCAATCTCCCCTCCCCCAACCACCCCGACTCCTCTCCCTCCTTTTCCCCTTACCCCTACCCAATTCTTCCTCCCTCCCCTCCCCCCAACCCTGCCTCCCTCCCCTCCCCCACCTGCCACCTTATTCCCTCCCCTCCTTCGCCTGCCATTCCCCCCCACCCACCCACCCACCCAGCCCCCACGGCGGGCCCGGTCCGGGCGGGGCGCCCGAGCTCCCGGGTCCCTGGCTCGGGTCCAGCCCGCGGCCCAGGCCGGGCGGCGGCGGCGGGCGGGGTTCTGGCCGCGCGCGGTTTGGGGGTTTTTTATAACCCTGGCAGGCGGCTCAGGAAGTGCCTTCCCCGCGCCCCCTCCCCCGGCCACGCCGCCGCGCTCGCTCCCTCCCTTCCTGCGCAGGGCGGCGAGACCGCGGCGGAGACGGCGGACGGAGGCCCCGGGCGGGCGGGCGGCCGCAGGTAACCGCGCGGGCGGCGCGGCGGGGAGCGGGCTCGGCGGGGCCGGCGGGCACCCGGGGGGAGGCGGCCGGCGCCGGGCGGCCGCGGGTGACCTTGTGTGTCCGCGTCGGGCGGGGACGGCCGCGGGCCCAGGTCTGTCGGACCGTCCAGCCGCGGGGCGGGGGTTGTGTCGGTGTGTGATGTCCCCGAGTGTGTGTGATGTCCCCGAGTGTGTGTGACACTGAGGTCATGCGGGCGCCGGTCTGGGTGTGTTCGCTGCGTGCGTGTGTGTCGGGGCGCGTGTGGGCATCCACGTATGTGTGAGTGCAACTGCATGTGTGTGTCCGCAGGATCGTGTCCATGAGGGTCTGGGTGTGTTTGTGTGCGATCGTGTGGGGTGTGGTGTGTGTGCATAGGTGTGAGTGTAAACTGACATAGTTAAGTGTCTGCTGGGTGTGCTGATGTCTAGGTGAGTGTGTGCGTGTCTCTACGCTGTCTCCTGGTGTGTCTGAGTGTAACGAGTGTGTAAATGCCTATATGTGAGTGCGTCTGGTGTGTATGTCAAGTTCTGCGGGACTCTGTCCGTTGTCTGGTGTGAGTGTGTGAACAAGTGTGTACATGTCTGTGTGTGTAGGCCCAAGTGTGGGTCTCTGGGTTGTCTCCTGTGAATGAGTGTGTACGTGTGTTGTGCACATAGGTCTGGGGAGTGTGTGGTTGTGTGTCTCGTGCGTTTGCCTCCCGATGTGTGTGTTCTGAGCGTGTCGGTGTGTTGGGATGCGAGCCCTTTGTGGGTCTGCGAGCCCTTTGTGGGTCTGCGGTGTCTAGTTGTGGGTCCCCAGCGGCGCAGGTGTGGTCACCCTCGAGTGTGTGCATTCGCTACCAGTGTGTGTTTGTGTGTCTGGGTGTGGGAGTGGCACCTCCCACTTCCCTTGAATCGGTCACCGAGGCCACAGCCGTCTGTCTCCAAGTGTCTCCAGGCCGTCGGGCTCAAGGCCTTTAATTAGTGGCTAGTCGAGGGGGACCCGCCGGGGCGCCGGCCCCCTCCTCCCGGTCCTCCCGCAGGCCGCGGGCGGGCCTTTGTCTGCTCTCCCGGCAGGGTTCTGCCTCCCGCCCAGCCAGATGTGTGGCGCCTGGAGAAGGCCTCTGCCCGGGCGGCCCCAGCCTTGGCCTCCACGGAGCGGCCGGATCTCCCCCGCCAGGCCCAGGAGGTCTGGGCGTGAAGCGACGGGTCCGTCCCGGATCGCTGGGATGGGATGGAGCCTCCGCTGTTTCCGGGCCGCTTCCGCGGCATTTCCTCCTCCCGCGCTGGCGCCGTCCCGGTGCTGGCCGCCTCCCTCCTGCCTTCTGGGAGGAGGGGCTGGGAGCAATGGCCAAGCCCGGGCACGCGCGCTCGTGCGTGCGTGCGCGCGCGTGCACACAGCCACAAGGGCACCACACAGGGCCACACACAGGGTCACATGGACACACACACCACACACAAAGTCGCCTAAGTACATACAGTCTACTTACACAGTCACACACCCAGAGACACACAGAGTCACACATGCAGTCACACACGCATCCTGGTGGAGACCCCTGCTGTTGCCCCCAGCCAGGCTCAGCCGGGGAACCCCCTAACCTCCCTACCCTCAGTATCACTTTCTCCCCAGACCCACTGTTCCCAGTACCCCCATGGCAGGTCACCCCTGGCTACCACCCTGCAAGGGGGCCACTATCCCAGATCCTCCCCTCACGCCCACCCCCCCCAGCTCTGGAGGGACACCTGTTGCCCTCCCCACAACCCTCCCTCCATCCCCACCCACCTATGCCAGCTCCTTCCACACCCTCCCCCGTACCCCACCTGAGCCAGAAGTGCAAGGGCGGCTGCTGTGAGGCCTGTGAGGACTTCAGGGGTGCGGAGCAGAGAGACCCAAAGTGTCTTTGAGTCTCTCAAAGACACTGCAGCCAGAACCAGAGCCACAGAACCGCTGGGGGGAGATTCTGCACCAGGCCTGGCAGTGCAGGAAAGAAGGAGAGGGACAGGATTGGGGGAAGGGAGCTCCAGCCTCACACTGCAATGAGAACGTTGCCACCTTGGCATGGGAGGGGAGGATGGTTAAGGCAAGGGGAGGGTCAGGGGGAACTGACCAGGAAGAGGTTTCATCAGAGCCGGTCAAGGTCTCCAGGATGGAATACGGGAGAGGAGGGAGTTTGGTGGGGGACCAGGAACTGAAGGAGCATGAAATCCAAGAGGAGGTTTGCCAGGGTCGGGAGAAGGGCAGACTATTCTCAGCCACCCCTGAACTTCAGACCCAGGCCGGCTCCTCCTCCCTGCCCCTCCCTGTCTAGGCACTAAAGAAGAGGCTGAGGCACAGAGGGGCTCACGCACAGGTGTCCGACCCCAGGCTGCCCACTGCCACCCCCAAAAGGTAAAAACAAACCAAAAAACAAGGGATAATCATTAGCCCAGCTGAAGGGACCAGTAGGGTCACAGAGTGTCTTGGAGTGAGCTCCCCGTCGCTGGAGGGGTTCAAGCAGAAGCGGGTAATGTCAGCTTCTAAGTCTGCGTCTTGTTGAAAACCTGGCTCCCTCCCTCGTGTGCTGAACTGCCCTGTTTGGAGATCAACTCTCAGACTTGGCCAGGCTGCAAAGAAAACAAGACAGTGTGTGATTAAGGGGGAAACAGCACAGAGGAGGAGGAGGAGGAGGAGGGTGGAGACAGGAGTGGGGAGGAGGGTTTGGCACGGGGTAGTGGCCCAAAGTGGTGTCTGTGCACAGCAGGCTGGCCTGGGGCAGATGCCAGAGAAACCGAGCCCTCCCGGACAACCCTAGAGCTTCCAGAAAGAAGAATCTGAAAGGAGAAGGAGTCGAACCAGGGTCGAGGCTGGAAACAGAGGGTGGAGAAGAGGTCAGAGGGACAGATGCCACCTGTAGGTGTGAATAATGCTCCCTGTGGCCGGGGATCCAATGGCAGGGCCTAAGTCAGACAGGGTTAGTGGGAGGAGCCAATCACTTCTGGTTTAATCTGGGCTGAAAATGCCCACTGACCAGCACAGCCTTCAGATGTGTTCCACTCCAGCCTCCCCTTGCTGCACTCCTGCCTCCCCACAGGAACTCTGCACAGCCGCACTGGCCCTTGTGCTCCTGGGTCCACACCCAGGTCCTCCCTGCCTCTGGGCCTTTGCCTCTGCTGCCCCTCTCCCTGGGCACCTTCTCCTGTCTCTTCGTGACGAGTTTCTTCTCATCCTCCATGCCCCAGTTTCTGAGCCTCCCCGTTATTTCTAGAGAACTTGTCACAATCTGAACTCCTCTGGTTCAGTCACTCCTAGCAGATGGCCCCTCGGTGGGCAGAGACGGCATCTATGTCATGCCTATCATTAGCCATGAACGAGTCCTCAGGATTATTGTGGAAATGAAATGGTGTGAAAACACTCAGGCCGGTGGCTGGCACGTAGTAGGCACCCATCGAGTCATGATCCCCTATGTATCCTTGTAGCATGGGGAGGATGAGGGGTTGGGGACAGGGAGAGGAAATGCCAGGGGCATCCCGGGTGCTGGGAGGAATGGGCTTCAGCACTGGCCACACTGGGCAGCAGGACAAGGCACCCGCCCCCGCCGACCCAAATCCTCCCTCCCAGGAGCCCGGTGATGCTGCCCAGGCTGTGAACAGGGGAGGCGGTGCTGTGGGGGCTGCCGGCAGCCGGGGCTGGAGAGAGACATGTGGACACGTGGCCTCTATGGCTCCCGCCTACCAGATCCTCCGCTGGGCCCTTACCCTGGGGCTGGGCCTCACATTCGAAGTCATACACGCCTTCCAGTCTCAAGGTAGGGGTGTCCCGGGGCAGCATGGGGAGGGAACGAGGAGCCGAGGAAGGGTCAGTGGGGCTGGGATGGCAGTCACTTGGGGGAGGGCCCTGGGGTCAGTGAGGCCAGCATATTGGCCCCATAGCCAAGCCACGAAGACCCAGGTTGCTCCCACGGCTCACCCCAAGCTTCTGACCCTTGCCCACAGATGAGTTCCTGTCCAGTCTGGAGAGCTATGAGATCGCCTTCCCCACACGAGTGGACCACAATGGGGCCCTGCTGGCCTTCTCGCCCCCCGCGCCCCAGAGGCAGCGTCGGGGCATAGGGCCAGCCCCAGAGTCCCGCCTCTACTATAAGGTGGCCGCGCCCAGCACCCACTTCCTGCTGAACCTGACGCGCAGCCCCCGCCTTCTAGCAGGGCATGTCTCCGTGGAGTACTGGACACGGGAGGGCCTGGCCTGGCAGAGGGCTGCCCGGCCCCACTGCCTCTACGCCGGCCACCTGCAGGGTCAGGCTGGCAGCTCCCATGTGGCCATCAGCACCTGTGGGGGCCTGGTGAGCAGAGGGTTCCGGGAAGCAGGGGGACATGCTCACCAGCTTGGGAGTTATGAAAAACACTTCTCCGTGTAGGTCAGAGAAGGAATCCAGGTGGATTTTTTTTTAAGCATTTTGAGCTAATCACAAGGATTAGTTATTCTAGGACATAGCTAAAGCAGAACTTTGAGGAAAATGTGTAGCCATAAGGTCAGGCTGCAAAGGAACCAACCAAACTTCCTCCTCAGGAAGGTGAAAAAGGAAAAGTAACATAAACCCAGTAAGACAGAAAGAATGGAATCATAAAGACATAGGTAGGGTCCCATGGGCCCTGGGAACCAAAGCCTGATCCAAGCCCTCCACCCGCTCCCCAACCCCCAGCATGGCCTGATTGTGGCAGATGAAGAAGAATATTTGATCGAGCCCCTGCAAGTTGGGCCCAAAGGGACCCAGGGCCCAGAGGACAGTGGCCCCCATGTGGTGTACAAGCGCTCCTCTCTGCGTCACCCCCACCTGGACACAGCCTGCGGAGTGAGAGGTACATCTGTCTTTGTGGGGACGGTCAGAGGGAGGCGGCAGTGTCTGATGGCCCCACTGTGAGTGAGACAGGTGCTCAGGCATAAACCCTCTGTCTCCAGGATGACGGGGTGATCAGACAGCTAAGCAGCCGATGAGTGGCTGATTCGAGCCACTGCACGGTGCAAACCCTTTTCAGAAGGTCCAACTTACAACCAGATTTGCAGGGGGACAGGTGTCTGATCAGACAGGCTGGGGTGGGGGAGCAAGAAAGCTGGATGAGACTGATATTTACAAGGGCCGTCGTCCAGCTGCAGGGATAAGGGCAGACCCCGGGGACATTCTATGAGGCATGTGATCCAACAGTCTGGGCATGGGACCCCATGTGTCAGACCTACAACCATGGTCGGTGTTTAGAATGGAAGGGTGGGTTGTTTCACACTCAGATGGCCGGTGAGACCAGCTGGATAGTAGGACCCTCCAGCAGTGGGGTTGTCCTCCAGCTGCACAGCTGGACAGTGTGTTGGCGAGAACGTGGCCCTGTTGGAAGACCGCAGAGTCCCACAAGTGCACAGTGCCCATGCCGAGGCGGGCGGCTCCACGCCTAAGTTTGGGCAATGGAATTTTCAGGAAGTGGCGCAGTCACTCTAGTTGTCGTGGGGCCCAGCTGTCCGTGCCACCAACCAGTGTGACAGAGTAGAGCCCATCCTCTGGATACTAGACCATAGTAGAGCCAGACACTGGACACCCAGGACACCCAGTAGCCAAAGAACAAGGGGTCTGCCGGCCCATGAGGCCAATGCGCCATCAGACTGGGTCATAGACCTACGAGCAGGCAGCAGAATGACCAGAAATTGTCCATCCAGATGAGAAGCCATGGAAGGGGCGGCCATGGTGGCTCCGTACCCTGAAGCCGCCCCCCGCCAGGCCCCTGGGGAATGAGACCGAGCGTGGCCAGCCAGGCCTGAAGCGCTCCGTCAGCCGCGAGCGCTACGTGGAGACCCTGGTGGTGGCTGACAAGATGATGGTGGCCTACCACGGGCGCCGAGATGTGGAACAGTACGTGCTGGCCATCATGAACATTGTAAGTGCCTCCCCCTCCCTGGCCACGGAGCCCTGAGGTCAGGGAACCCACGCATAGGGGGCAGAGTGAGAAAGGAGGCCGGGTTGAGCAAGAAATAAGGAGAAGCAGCCTCGCTGGGCGGCCGGGAGCATAGACTCGGCTCTGCTGCTTTTTAGCTGTGTGCCCTTGGACCAGTCCCTCACCCCCCGTGCCTCAGTTTACCCACCTGTGAAATGGAGGTAGGAATAGTACCTCCTCCACAAGGCTCAGGCGATCGCAGCGAATCGGGAGAGCGTTGGGAAGAGCCCTGGGCACGCGGTCAGGGCTGCGCAGGCACCTGCTGTATAAAACAAGGATGCAGCTTGAACTTGAGGCCAGCAGTACACAGGGGGGCACACACCCGAACCCTCCCACAGGCACCTGCCCACCACTTCACATGGTGACCTTGCTCACCCACACTCAGATATCCCCAGGGTCCATACCAGCTCTCCGTGGAGACGCCAGATCTCTCCGAGCCTCAGTTTCCACATTTGTACGACACTGTTGTCATAGTATCTACCCCAGGAGGAAAGAGTCCAGGCAGGGAGGGGGACAGGGGGAGCCATACAGAGCATTTGGCATGCAGTAGGAGCCTGACAAGGGGCGCTATTGTTTTGCGGATGCAAAAAGGGAAGAGAAAAAGGTCAGCAGACAGAGAGGTGGCCCAAAATGTTGACATAGCACCACATGTTCTGCCTTAGCCCTGCTTCCCTCCCTTGGGCTTTCAAAGTTGTCTACAGCCTGGGCGCCTGGGTGGCTCAGTGGGTTAAGCCTCTCTGCCTTCTGCTCAGGTCATGATCTCAGGGTCCTGGGATCAAGCCCCGCATTGGGCTCTCTGCTCGGCAGGGAGCCTGCTTCCCCCTTCTCTCTGCCTGCCTTTCTGCCTACCTGTGATCTCTCTCTGTCAAATAAATAAACAAAATTAAAAAAAAAAAAAAAGTCTAGAACCTGCCAGAGTTTCTGTGGCTCACCACATGGGACAGTGATGCCCCAGGCTCCGAGATCACTGCACACCATGGCGACCGCCCCCCTGACCCCAGGCTCTTCCTCCCCCTCCCTCGCCCCTGTCTCCAGAGCTTCCTGCCCCTGACACTTCCACTTTCTTGTGGTGATGCTCAAATTGATACATTTATTTTTTTTTTTAAGATTTTAAGTACTGACCTGACAGAGAGAGCACAAGCAGAGGGGAGGAGCAGAGGGAGAGGGAGAAGCAGGCTCCTCACCAAGGAGGAGCCACGGGGACAGGGGGTTCAATCCCAGGACCCCGGGATACTGACCGGAGCTGAAGGCAGATGCTGACCAACTGAGTCACCCAGGCGCCCCCAAATTGGTACCTTTAGACAACTGTGGAATGAGACCAAATGTGCACATCCCTCGGGCCGCCTCTGGGCAGAGACACTTGGGGCCACTGCGGGGGTGGGTAGGGATGGAGGACAGACAGACAAGCTGAATGGGGGCGAGTCAGAAAGAAAGGTACCAGGGAGCAACCCAGACATGAATCCCCCTGTGGCACCTACCCGCTGTGGGTCCTGACCTCTCTGTCTGTCGGTCTACTCCTCTGTAAAATGGGAATGACCATCGTCCCTACCTGCTCAGCAGGCGTAGCCCGAGGCCTGGCCCGCAGGACTTACTTGGTGAAGGAGGGCTACTGCCGTTTTGCCTTTTGTCTCCTACTCTGGGCCCCTCTTAAGACTCGGTCTCTCTTGTTTCTTGGAGGTCAGGTTGCCAAACTTTTCCAGGACTCAAGTCTGGGAAACATCGTTAATATCCTGGTGACACGCCTCATCCTGCTCACGGAGGACCAGGTGCGAGGGCCCCCTCCCCGCACCTGCCCCTGCATACCAGCGCTGCCTGTCTCCCCCTCCCCCTGAAGAACTTCCTCCCCCAAGGATGGCTGGCCCCCATGCCCCTCTGTCTGTCTGCAGCCGACCCTGGAGATCACCCACCATGCCGGGAAGTCCCTGGACAGCTTCTGTAAGTGGCAGAAATCCATCGTGAATCGCAGCGGCCATGGCAATGCCATTCCGGAGAACGGTGTGGCCAACCACGACACAGCAGTGCTCATCACACGGTGAGGGGCGGGGAGGACTCCAGGACATGGGCCGGGGGAACGAGTGGTCCCAGGGACCCTCCAGGTCCAAGCAGGGCTCACTTCTGCTGGGAGATGGGAGCGGCTGGGAAACTGCGGCCACTCCAGTGGGGAGTCAGAGTTGGGGAGGGGCTGCTGGGAGCCTGAGAGCCTTGGTTCAGGAGGACAAGGGGCGGGGGAGGGGAGGCAGGGACAGCTGGGCACAGACAGTCTCGTTCCCTCGCTGTCTCATTGATACAGTCAGTCGGTCACTTACGCACCCCCAGCATCCCCAAGGTCCACTGCGGACAGAGCACGGGGCTCCGGGCGAGAGGCCAAAGGGAGCCTCTGAAATCAGTTACGGTGGCCCCTGCAGGGATTAGGGAGGCAGCCTAGCACCTGACTGCCCCCCTCTCCTTCCACAGCTATGACATCTGCATCTATAGGAACAAGCCCTGTGGCACACTAGGTACTTAACCCCCGTAGGCTTCAGACACCTGTGGAGACAGCGGATGGGTGCCCCCAGCCCTGGCGGGGTGGGGACCTGGCTGGGCCAACCCTCACAACCCGAGCCCAGCCCTGCCCCACGCGCCCATCCCCCAGGCCTGGCCCCCGTGGGCGGCATGTGCGAGCGGGAGAGGAGCTGCAGCATCAATGAGGACATTGGTCTGGCCACCGCCTTCACTATCGCCCACGAGATTGGACACACGTGAGGCATGGGACACTGCAGGGCATGGGGCGTGGGGGACGGGGACGGGCCGGATGGCAGATTCCTTGGCCCAGGTGGTGGAGCCAACGCTGCTCTCCCCAGGTTTGGCATGAACCACGACGGTGTAGGGAACAGCTGTGGGGCCCGTGGCCAGGACCCGGCCAAGCTCATGGCTGCCCATATCACCATGAAGACCAACCCTTTTGTGTGGTCATCCTGCAGCCGCGACTACATCACCAGCTTTCTGGAGTGAGGACGTGCCCACATGCCTGCCTGCGCTCCCGCTCACCTTGGCGCGGAATGGGGGTGGGGGAGGGAGCGCAGGGGAGTGGGGTCTGGAAATCGGAGCTGCCTCTGGGAGGGGTCCTGTTCCCTACGTAGGCCTGCGCCCTATGACCCACACCTCCCCCTGGGAACCCTGAGCTCTTCGCCTACAGCCCTCTGACGTTACAGCTCCTTTTTCTTGCCCCAGCTCAGGCCTGGGGCTGTGCCTGAACAACCGGCCCCCCAGACAGGACTTCGTGTACCCCACGGTGGCACCCGGCCAGGCCTACGACGCAGACGAACAGTGCCGCTTCCAACATGGAGTCAAATCGCGTCAGTGTAAATACGGGGTAGAGAGAGCCTTCCTGCTTTCCTTCCTGGGAGGGGAGGGGCCGCAGGGGGTGGGAGAGTTGGGAAGGGGGTGAGCCCCTGTGGGGGCCAGGGGGAAAGAGACATCTATGCACAGGTGTATAGATGTCACGTGCACTCAGTGACTGGGAGGATAGGATCACCTGGCTCTCCAGACCCCTGATTTTGGGGGCTGGTCTGGGGAGACCTTGGGCACCCCCTTCTGTCCAGCCTGTCAGGCCACCAGTGGGCTGCTGCAGGACTAAAGTCCCAAGCCCTCTAACCAGGCAGTTTTTCACCAAACATTCCAAATGGGATGGAAATAGTTCCCTGGGGACGGACCATCTTTCCCAGAGCCTTCCAGGGACACCCTGTCTTCATTCCCCACATCCCCCACCAACTGGTTCACAAGATCGCCTGGCCCTGATGCTTGGCTGGACGAGCTCTGAGTCTCTGGGCCACCCCTCCCTCTTGGTGAGGTTTGCATTGATTTCCCAAAGCCCCATCCTTTTGTAGAGAAGCAAGCTGGGGGTCCCACTCCCAGCTGCCCCCAAGGAAGCTGGAGGCCTGCTGGCTTCCTCAAGACTCCAGAGATCAGAGTTTGGACGGCCACGTCCAAGCCGAGGCCATGTTGACTCAACACAGGAAAAGGCAGCTGTTCTAATGCCCTCACTTCATCCCAGGGCAAAACAAGGAGACAAACCCTGGCATCATTTCTATTTAACCTGCTCTTGCCCACCCTCCCCAGCTTGGCTGGTAACTGTAGCACCCTTAACAAATTTCTAAAGAATCTGGAGCATCTGCTGTGTCCCTGGTATCCTAACCATGATGACAGTGGCTGACATTTACTGAGCGCCCACTATGTGCTAAGCATGTGATATGTTTCATCTCATTTAAACTCTTGACAATCCTGCTATATTTCCACATTACAGATGAAGGGACTGAGGCATAGGGAGGGTGCCTTGCCCAATGTCACAGTTCAAGAACACGTCAGAGCTGGGACTCAAAGGTCTCACTGTGACTCCAAATTTTATAATGAGGTGAGGGAGGGAAGGAAGTGCCAGAATAAGGAGCTTGGACCGGTACTGGCTGTATGTTGAATTGATTCTTTCTTTTATTTCTCCAAGGAACATCTTCCCGGAGCCCCTGGCAAAGGGGGAAATTATTGACTACATATAACTTGGCTAACGCATGTAAAGAGCTGGGCCCAGTGCCTAGCCCAGAGATAGCTGTGGTTACTGTTACACAATAACAGGGAGTTTGTGCAATCTCTTTCAGATCTACTCTGTCATATGCCTCTCGGCCTTTTATGTAGGCAAGGCCCATCTCTTAGATGAGAAAACAGGGTGGGGGGGGGAGTGGCAATTCCCCAGCGGGGCCAAAGTCTCCCTGAATGGCCCAGAGCCCGTTCACATGCACCACAGCGCCTCCTTGTGGTGAGAAGGAAAAGCAGGACTGGAATAGCCAGTTCTCTTTAAGAGGTGTCAGAAGTGGGATGAGGGCCCGTGATATTTACAAATGGCGGGGAAGACACAAGCCAAGTGAAGCCAGAAAAACAGGCTGAGTTTTTAAACTGAGACGTAGCCTCTGAAGGAGCACAAGACAGGGACTCTGGAGGACAGTTGAGGATGCAGACTTGAAAACAACCTTCTGGAGCTTCTCATGTGTGTGCAGATGTCTGTCAGAGGCTGCCCCTTCCTACAGCCATTGATTGGCCCAGTCCCAGATCATCAAAACTTGAAAGGATTAGGTTCAAAGAGGAAATGGCACATGGTAAAAAGGAGAATGAAGGATCTCCATTTCCCAGGGTGGGGGAAGGCCCTGGGAGGTGGGCAGATGTAGGCTAGAGGGTCAGAGATTTGGACACCCCTGAACCCAGGGGGTTTGTCCAGCGATATTAACCCAAAGGGTCAGAGTGAGTTCCTGGGACTGGTCCAGCCCAAGCAGGATTCCGACAGGAAGGAGGGCAGAGTTTTCAGTGGGCAAAGTTGCATCCCACCCAGATCCAGCCTGGCTTTGTTCAGGCCAAGTCTCCCATAGAGTAAAAGTTCCAGGAGCTTCCACAATTTGCGGGGCGGGGGTGGGGGCAATAAAGAAGACCACCAGATGGAAAAAATTAGAGATGAGGCCTTTGACCTGAGCCATCTTCCAGGCCAGAGTTTTCAGAATTACTGTTCTCCCAGGGGCCGCTTCCCCCATCCCAACAAGGAATGCAGAATCATCTTGTTCCTCAGCAGGTTTGGAGACTCAAGAGGCACCAGAGTGATGAGATCACAGAGTGGTCAATCAAAGGCCCGGGGTAGAGCTGAGGCTGCCCCTCAGAAGCTGTGTGGCCCCTAGCAAGTGACTTTACCTGTCTAAGCCTTGGTTTTCTCACAGTGAAACGGGGGTAGTGTTGCCTAAAGGGGTTGCCACACACACGGACGTTGGTTAAGTGCAGCCCATAAGGCAGAGGGGAGGTCTCAGGCCATGCCCCACAGGAAGACTCCAGAAGGCTCCTGGAGACCCAGCGGAGGAGCGCTGGGGCCCCCACTGCTAGGAGGCAGTGAGCGGGTCGCCGCCCCCGGCGGGCGGGCTGCCCGAGGGAGGAGGGCGGGGGGCGAGCCTGAGCAGGCGCCTTGGCCCGCAGGAGGTCTGCAGCGAGCTGTGGTGTCTGAGCAAGAGCAACCGGTGCATCACCAACAGCATTCCTGCAGCAGAGGGCACGCTGTGCCAGACGCACACCATCGACAAGGGGGTGAGCGCCGCCCCGGCCGCCAGCCGGGCCCCGCCCCCTGCCCTTGAGCCAAGCCCACCGCGCTGCTGTGGGGGTTTCCGTCGGCTCTGGCCACGCCCCTTGCCCTTGAGCCACGCCCACCGCGCTTCTGTGCTGTTTCCGTGGGCTCTGGCCACGCCCACTGTCCGCAGGTCCCGCCCATCGCCTGAGGCCACGCGCAGCCCCTACTCCTGCAGTGCTAGACCCTGGGCGAATTTCACCTCCCGGCGGTGACCGTAGGCTTAGGCCACGCCCCCATCTGGCCTGTGTCCGGGTCCCCAGACCCCACTTCCACCCTCGCCCCTTCGGTCCCATCCCAGGGATGCAGAGACCTCCTGCTGGGGGAGGGGCGGGACAGGAAAGAGCGCCGGGATCCCGGGAGTCCACGGAGCGGGACTCACCCCGCTTCCTCTCCCCAATACCTGCCGTAGTGGTGCTACAAGCGCGTGTGCGTCCCTTTCGGGTCGCGGCCGGAGGGCGTGGACGGAGCCTGGGGCCCGTGGACCCCGTGGGGCGACTGCAGCCGGACGTGCGGCGGCGGCGTGTCCTCCTCCAGCCGTCACTGCGACAGCCCCAGGTCAGCTCTCAGGGCCCTCTGTAAAGAGAGTGGGGCGGGGGCGGGGTCCCCCTCTGTCTAGCCGCCCCCCCGCCCCACATCTGTTTTGTCTCCCCACCCCAACCCTTTCAGGCCAACAATCGGGGGCAAGTACTGCCTGGGTGAAAGACGGCGGCACCGCTCCTGCAACACCGACGTGAGTTTCCCCAGGACCCCAGGCTGAGATCCGCTGTTCTGCCCTGCCCTCCAGACACCTGCCCCTGGGCCCCGGTGCCAACAGGACAGGGCTCCCCTGCAAGCGTCTGGTTCCTTCCCATTCTCAGATGACTCCCCCACTTTGAACTTGTATGACCTCCAGCTACAGTGCTACAGTGCACTCCTCCAGTTACAGTGCACTGCACCCCCCTTTCAAAGCTGGGTTCCCCAAACTTCCCCAACCCCACCCCAAAGCCATCTCCAAGCTGTCACCAAACCCAGTAGCCACTGAGGACCCAGTTTGGGTTCTCCCTTTGTCCTCCCTTCTGCCCAGGAACCATGGCCTCCATCCACAACTCCCTACCCCACTCCCAGCCCCTTGCTGCCATCACCCCTGCCCTGTGCTCCCAGCTCCTCCCCATACACCTTCTGTCTTCTAGTCTCCACTGCTGTCCCTTCTTTAAATGTTGGGGTTCCCCATGGCTGGTTGGGGCTTCTGACTGTAAGCGAGTCTTCTGTGGACACACCCAGTAAGCACAAGGCTTACTGAACACAAGGTGTTCAGAGGGTGGGGAGCGCTTGGGGGGCTGCGGGGTGAGTGGTCTTCGCAGCCCCACCTGGAGTGGCTCCTGTCCCCAGGGAGTCCACACACGCCCCACCCACCATAATGAGTGCTCCTGGCTCCTTTCTAGGCCTGTTCTCAAGAAAGGCCTCATGATCTGAAATCAGAAACCCAGCCAGCATCCCCAGCTCGCCCCAAATTCTCATGAATCATCTGCTCCATTTCTGAAGTACCCGTCCCTCCAGCCCCACCGCCTGGCCCTGGCCCAGGCCACCAACCAGTCTCACCTGGCCCCCCACAGATTCCTCCTGGCCTCTTGCCTTCAGCTTCCCCCCCTCTAACCCATCCCTGCTCTAAGCATCGGGCCCATGCCCTAACTCCACCCCCCATACACGGCCTCCCTCCCTGTCCCTCTCTTGCCCCCAGGACTGTCCCCCAGGCTCCCAGGACTTCCGGGAAATGCAATGCTCTGAATTTGACAGCATCCCTTTCCGTGGAAAATTCTACACGTGGAAGACATACCGAGGAGGTGAGTGAGGGACCCAGGAGGCCATGGGGCACTGGAGGGCGGCAGCAGGTGGACGCAGGATTGTGGGGTCTGCCCTGAGCGTCCCCTCACCCAAGGGGCCAAAGAGCCCAGGATGTGGTTCAACAGTTCCTTGACTAGACACTGGGAATCCCAACTGTCTCTGTGCAACTTGCCCAGCCATGCTGGGGCCCGGATCTGTCCCTCTTTGCCTCCCCTACCCCCATCCTCGGGAATGAGCAGGGAGTCCCAGGTGGCCTGGCCCTCCGTCTGACAGGGCTGTGCCCCCCCAGGGGGCGTGAAGGCCTGCTCACTCACATGCCTGGCCGAAGGCTTCAACTTCTACACAGAGAGAGCGGCTGCCGTGGTGGACGGGACGCCCTGTCGCCCTGACACAGTGGACATTTGTGTCAGCGGCGAGTGCAAGGTGAAGGGGACTCCCAGACAGAGGGCAAGGAATAGGGGAGTGAAGGCAGGGAGGGGGGCTCACTGACACTCGCTCCCCCACCACCCTCCCCACCTCCCCAGCACGTGGGCTGCGACCGGGTCCTGGGCTCCGACCTGAGGGAGGACAAGTGTCGGGTTTGCGGTGGTGACGGCAGTGCCTGTGAAACCATTGAGGGGGTCTTCAGCCCAGCCTCACCTGCAGCTGGTGAGAGATCCCCATTCCTTCTCCCTCTGGCCGCTTGGTGACTGAGGGCAGGACTGGCCCCATCACAGTAGCCAGCGTCAGCTACTCAGACCCAGGTGCCCGGTGGGGACCCCAAGAAGTCCCGGGGCACAGCAATGCCCCAGCTCAGGGTCAGGGACTAGCTTGGGCTCTGGCGTGTAAACCTTGGCAATTAACATGCCAAGAGGGAGGGACCTAAACCTTTCCCCACCCCCCCCCCGGGAGGCTGGCCCTGGGTTGGGGCAGAGGGGTTGACCACTCCCCGTGGTCTGAACCAGGGGCTTGAGAGACTCTGTGCTGGAGAAGAAGCCTTACAGGGGGAGGGATATCTGTAGGGTATGGTGAACTTGAGCCTGCCTTCCAACCTTGGGCTGAAGGACAGTGACCCCAGGGAGTGGGGGGTGGCTCCTGGGAGCAGACACACACAGTGAGGCCTCCGTGTGGGGTTCAGGGGATGGGAAGAGACCCAGGTTGGAAGTGGTAGAGCCCCCACTGCTGAACTCGCCATGTCACCATGTGGGTTGGGGCCTCCACAGTGCCCCCATCCCTCTGCGCTGGGGGGTAGGAAACGGACCACACCACTGTGGTGGTCAGAGAGGCAGGAAAGTTGGGGTTCCAACCCCAGCCCTGCCACTTCCTAGCTGTCAAACCTGAGCGAGTTGCTTAGCTTCTCTGAGCCTCAGTCTTGTCATCTGTAAAATGGGTGTGATGGCCCATCTACTTCACAGAGCCAGGCCTGGTGCTGCGGTGGGATGGCCTCGTAAGCACTTACTGCAGTAATGGTTCACTGTTGTCATCGAGGGCCAGGAATGGGGGGGTGGGGCGGGTAGGCAGGTGTGGGGGAAGGGCCAAGTGGGCGACATCTGAGCTCCACCGTCCAGGGTATGAGGAAGTCGTCTGGATCCCCAAAGGCTCCGTCCACATCTTCATCCAGGACCTGAACCTCTCCCTCAGTCACCTGGGTGAGCTGGAGATGGTGGGATGAGGACTGGGGGTCAGCAGGGGGTCAGTGTAGCTGGGGTTCTGACCCCTATGCTGTCCTCCTAGCCCTGAAGGGGGACCAGGAATCCCTGCTGCTGGAGGGGCTGCCTGGGACCCCCCAGCCCCACCGCCTGCCCCTGGCTGGGACCACCTTTCAGCTGCGACAGGGGCCAGATCAGACGCAGAGCCTAGAAGCCCTGGGACCCATAAACACATCTCTCATCATCATGGTAACAATAGTGGGAGCAAGATGCCGGAAGACATCAGCCTCCTTGTGGGGACTGGAGCTTGGCTTCCACTTGATGGCCTCCTCCCCCACCCCAGGTACTGGCCCGGACAGAGCTGGCTGCCCTCCGCTACCGCTTCAACGCGCCCATTGCCCGAGACGTGCTGCCTCCCTACTCCTGGCACTATGCGCCCTGGACCAAGTGCTCGGCCCAGTGTGCCGGCGGTGAGGTCGGGGTGCAGTCGGGGGTAGGCACTGGTCCCCTGGGCTCCACTGCTGGTCCCGGTGGGACTGAGCGGATCTCCCGGCCACCCCCAGGCAGCCAGGTGCAGGCCGTGGAGTGCCGCAATCAGTTGGACAGCTCGGCGGTGGCCCCCCACCATTGCAGCGCCCACAGCAAGCTCCCCAAGAGGCAGCGTGCCTGCAACACGGAGCCTTGCCCACCAGAGTGAGTGCCCGCTGGGGCTGCAGGCTCGGGGTGACAAGAGCCAGAGTGGGTAGTGCTCCCAGGATCAGGATGATAGTGCTCCCCAGGATGGGGTCAAGGCTCTCCCTCAGCGTGACGCACCCCTCACCCCCAGCACGGGTGCAGGGTGGGGATATCCCAGGTGTGTGCTGGGGTGCTCCCTGCAGAAGCAGCCCTGTGCCGGATTTTGTCAAGATGCTGGCTCCTGGGGAGGAGGAGGATATGCCAGGACCCCAGAGGGAGGGAGGGCCCTCCCCTGCATACTCTCAGACCTGCCTCCTCCCAACAGCTGGGTTGTAGGGAACTGGTCCCGCTGCAGCCGCAGCTGCGATGCGGGGGTGCGTAGCCGCTCAGTGGTGTGCCAGCGCCGGGTGTCAGCCGAGGAGGAGAAGGCGCTGGATGACAGTGCGTGCCCGCAGCCGCGCCCACCAGTTCTGGAGGCCTGCCAAGGCCCCGCTTGCCCGCCCGAGTGGGCTGCCCTGGACTGGTCAGAGGTCAGCCCATACTGCTCCCTATGGGGGTGGGGGGGGATGCTGGGATGCCCTTAGTGGGTTCCCACAAAGGCACCTCTCGGCAGTCACAAGCCCCTCCTGCTCAACCTAGTGCCCCCCCAAACCGGTCCAAGGTTAGCTGACCTCTCCTTGTCGCCCTTTGAACCACCATCTGCCCCTCCCTGCCCCCCACGTGCCGGGACTGGAGCACCCAGGAGCATGAAACCCCCTCTCCGACTGCAGTGCACCCCCAGCTGCGGGCCAGGCCTCCGCCACCGCATTGTCCTGTGCAAGAGCTCCGACCATCGCGCCACGCTGCCCCCTGCGCACTGCCCGCCCGCAGCCAAGCCACCAGCCACCATGCGCTGCAACTTGCGCCGCTGTCCCCCAGCCCGCTGGGTGACAGGCGAGTGGGGCGAGGTAGGCCGGCGCTCTGGGGGCGGGGGCGGCAGGAAGGGGCGCCCCACCGAAGCTCAGCAGCGACTCCCCACAGTGCTCCGCGCAGTGTGGGATCGGGCAGCAACAGCGCGCGGTGCGCTGCTCCAGCCACACCGGCCAGCCGTCGGGCGAGTGCGCAGAGGCTCTGCGGCCCCCGTCCACACAGCAGTGCGAAGCCAAGTGCGACAGCGCGCCCCCCGGGGACGGCCCCGAAGGTATGTGCGGGGGGGGGGGGGGGGAGGGCAAAGGGCTCCACGGGGGCCCTGTCCAGAGCGTGGGAGTCCTGACCATTGGCCTGGAGCATCTCCAACCACTGCAGCGTCTTTCTCTGTCCCCTCCAGGCACTGCACCGCCTCTCCCTGCAGGCATGTATTTAGTGCCACTGTATGCCAAGCATATTAGGCGCCTGATCCTCCCAGGCACCCAAACTCTGGTCATTCCCCCAGCCACCTTCGTGACCTTCATCCCATTCTTCTCCATCCGAACTGTGAACTGCCGAATGTTTTTCTTTAATTCAGACTCTCTCAACCTCTGCCACTATTGATGTTTTGGACCGGATCATTCTTGGGGGGGGGGGGGGCTGCCCTGGGCCCTGTAGGATATTCAAGTGGTCCGTCTGCGAGATGCCAGCAGCGCTCCTGCCCCCTAGTGGTGACAAGCAGAAATGTCTCCAGATCTGGCCATATGTCCCCTGGGGGACAAAATCCCTTTCCCTAGAGAACCGCTGCTTTAAATATGTCCATTTTTTCTACCTAAGTGAATTTATTCTCCATACAGGGCAATAGATAACTTACCCGGGCACTGGAACCAGACTGCCTGGATTGGGTTTCCTCCCCTGCTCCTTCTAATGGGTCAGGGGGATAATGATATACTCACTAGCCCCGGAGCTGCGTGAGAGAGATGGACTAAAACAACCCACGTGAGGCCCTTTATTAGGCACCAGGCCCTGTCCTACCTCACTGGCCAAGTGGGAGCCCGCATCACTGTCGCAAACGGACGGTTGATGACCACGAACACAAAATACTCAAATACCCTGAGAAGGAACAACTTCTCTGGACCTCAGGGTCCTCCGTCGGTCACAAAGGGAAACGAGCAAGGATTACAGCCCCAAATGGATCAAAAGGATAACTGAAAGGGAGTGCTTTTGTCGTGATTAAATGCTGAGTCTGAGGCCCAGACTCAGCACTGTCTCTCTCAAAGTCCGCCAACAGCCTAATGACATATTTACAAGCCTCTTCCACACACTTTTTAAAAAAGATTTTATTTACTTATTTGATAGAGGGTGACAGCTTGAGAGAGAACACAAGCAGGGGGAGCAAGAGAGGGAGAAGCAGGCTTCCCCCCGAGCAGGGAGCCAGATGTGGGGCTCGATCCCAGAACCTGGAGATCATGACCTGAGCAGAAGGCAGACGCTTAACCGACTGAGCCACCCAGGCGCCCCTTGCACCCTCCCCCCAAATTTGAGTTACAGTTATAAGCTCCCTTTGAGAGGCGAGGAACTGAGGCAGAAAAGCTAGGAAGCTCTGTGCAGGCTTCAGACGCGCTCCTAAGGGAAAGGGCCCTGAGCTCTGATCTCTCCCGCCCCCTCTAGAGTGCAAAGACGTGAACAAGGTCGCCTACTGCCCCCTGGTGCTCAAATTTCAGTTCTGCAGCAGAGCCTACTTCCGCCAGATGTGCTGCAAAACCTGCCATGGCCGCTAGGGGGCGCCCCCCCAGAGCTACCGCTGGGCGCCGACTGGAGGGGACCCCGCCCGCATCTGGCCAGCCTGAAGGAGCCCGAGGGGGCGGGAGCTGGGAGTAAAGGATGAGACGAAGCCGGAAGTTATTTATTGGGAACCCCTAAAGGGCCCCTGGCTGGGGGATGGAGAGGGGCTACCCACCCCAGGGCCCCTCCTCATCCCCTCTCCCAGTTCATAGTGAGACCCCCTCCAGGGTGGGTTTGAGAAGGGAACAACTGTTCGCCCTAGAGCCCTTTTCACCCACTCCTAGGGAGCCCCTAATACTACCCCCCCTTTGACCGGAATATGTACTGTGAAGAGTGGGGGTGGGGAGGGGGTCTGCCTGTGTCCTGCCCCCAGCACTGCCCTATCCCTCCACTCTGAGCTGGGGGCGGGGGAGGGGGAGGGTCTATGTCCGCTATGGGGGAGGGGGATTAGCACCACCTCCCTGACACCCTCCCCCTGACCAGACCAGCTACAAGGCTGAGGCAGAGCTGGCAAGATCCACCACAACCTCTGCCCTGCCTGCCCCAGGGGGACCCCGACATCCAGGCGCCCCCATCATGGTGCTACAGACCCCGCCCTGGGGCCCACACACCCCTCGCCAGGAAGCCCTCCATCAATAAAGTTCTGTCTTGTGTAGCTTTCCGAGTGTTGATTTGTGAGCGCGTCAGTGAGTCTGAGTCACACGCAGTCCCCGCCACCTAATGGAAGGGGCCGTGCCCCCCGCCCCACCCCCGACCCCCGCTCCCGCCGCAGGTGGTTCCCATCAGTCCAAAGGGGCCTTTCACCGGCCGGGACAGAGCCCAGTGATTCTACAGCTTCTCAAGGAGGGTCTCAAGCCACCCGGTCTGGCCCCGGCCTTCCCGCCCTCCGCACCCCCAGGCCCTCGGCTCGGTCCAGCCGCCCAGGTCTCCCAGGCCCCGCGGAAGTTCCTCAATTTCCCGCCATCTTCCCATCTCGGGGGCCTTTGCGGGAGCTGCTTCCTCTGCCAGGTGTACCCTCCCCTCCCCTTTCCACCCAGTTAACTCCAGCTCACCCTGCAGCCAGGGTCCCCTCCGTGCAGAAGCCCCCTCGGAAGCCTCCGACCGGGAGAAGGTCCTCCCGCCGTCGCTCACTCGCCGGTGCCTGGAGGCTTCGCCGCGGTCTGCAGGCACCACGCCCGGGAGCAAACGTGTGCGGGGGATTCCGGGACAGACGCGCTCGTCCCCACACGTGGCCACTAGGGGGCGCCGCGCCTCGCCAGCCTCCAGGCGCGATGCCTCGTCCCGCCGGGGCGCAGGGATACCCGGGTCCTGCGGCCTCCCTGCCAGGCTCCCGGGGTGGGCCTCGGCCTCCTCCCCGCTGTGTGGCGCGGGAGGTGACAACCTGTCCGAAATGCCACTTCCTAAACGTCCAGGGGAGACCAAGACGTTGCCTGCTGCTCTCCCGAGATCAGGACACGGACCAACCCTTGATGAATCCTATGTGAGCCGGACACTGCGGCGAGGGTCCGCACCCCATTTTATAAGAACGTGGGGTCCCGGAAGTAGCAGAGCTGGGGGGCATTAAATCCCGAGCTGACACCCCATGTCTGGGAGGTAACAGCTTCCCCTGCTTCCTGGGAACTTCCACTCGTGATGTGTCCCCGCCCCCCACCTGCCTCCCATGACAGACCCACGTGGCTCCCACTGGCTTTTCTAGGGAAAAGACCGGCAGATGGCAGAGGCAGCTCTGGAAGAGGGGGTTTGCTTAGGGATGCCTGAGCAGACGCACATCTGAAGTGGTTTTGAAGAGACCTGAGCAGCCCAAATGCTTCCCCGCAGCCGCCTGACCTGGGTGCTGTCTGCTGCAGCCCCTGTCCAGGCAGTTGGAGAAAGGGCCTTCCCGGGGCCTGGCCCCTGCTGCCATCAGTCCTCGACCTCTCCCTTCACGCGGGCTCAGAACCCCAAACAGCCAGCGCCCTCAGCCCCGGCGCCCGGCTGGAGCCCTCTCCCCGCCCCTGGCCCGGCTTCCCTCCCTTGTAGCGGTGGCCCCTCCCGCTAAAGGAAGTGGGACGGGGGCTGTTCTAAGAGGAACTAGGGCTGGGAGTCTGGTGCAGGAGCAGGACCAGGGCCATGCCCGAGCCGCCCCCCGGAGCACCCTGAGCCTCTACCCCGCCACGACCCATCCAGTCCCTCCCCAGGGGCCTGACAGGACACCCCCACCATGGTAAGTCCTTCAAGGGCGGGCCCTGCAGTGCAAGAGTGGGGGCGGGGCGCCAGCCCAAGGTTGGGGTGCCCTGGACACCACCAACCAGAAGGTGGGGCGGTGAGGAGGGTCCCAGAGGACCCATGGGGGTCCCTCACTACAGCTTCAGGTGCCCCCAGCACGCTTCAGCAGGGACCAAGCTCACATCTGGCAGCGCCAGGATGCGGGAATGATGATGGGGGACCAACGATGGAGCAGGGACTGAAGGACAGAGAATGACTGTGCAGGATCACACGGTATCTGCGGGGACAAGGACAGACCCCTTTCTCAGGGCTTCGGGAACCAGTTTCCAGCCCAGCTGGGTCCCTCATCCTCCCGTGTGGCTTTGGGCAAGTCACTTCCCCTCTCTGGGCCTCGGTTCCCACATATGTCATATTTGGAAGTCAGCTGAGACGTAGAAGGTGTTCGGAGAAACTCTCAGAACTTCAGAGAGCCTGTGGGTTCTGCCACTCTGAGTCCACAGCTGGGAGCAGAGGCTGGGTCGAATGGGATATGGGGGGCAGCGATCGTGTCGTGACATCGTGCCTGTGTAGGGGTGGTCTGGTCGTAGCAATCACAGCAAGAGAGGACAGTGAGACCCAGCACGGCCACTGGTACCCTCCCGAGCAAGTATGGCAAGGGATGCTCTGTGGCTAAAGGTGTCACCCCCCGGGTGAGGCTGAGATCTGATGATGATTATGGTAAAAGGGGTCAGGAGACTGTCACTGTCATGGGTCTAGACCCAGAAGCATCATGACACCCACATTAAGAGAGAGCCTGGGCGGGCTCAAAAATTTGCACCCACCGCTCCATGCATCTGCAAGCCACTTCAGCTTTCATTTTTCGTCAGTCTGTCAAGGACAGCATGTGGCTGGGACAGTCACAGGGACAGTCACAGAGCCAGTGGTGACAATCGCGGTGCTCCCGGCAGTTGCAGCAGGCAGCTGGCCAAGGTGGAGGAGGCAGGGGCTAGACCAAGAGGCAGGGATCAGGTTAGTCTGAGAGAGAACCTCTCCTGACTTCGGAAAGCCCAGGACACCCTGGGCATCGCTGGCCAAGGACCTCGCTGGGTAACTCACAAAGCAGACCATCTGCTAGAGCTCAGGGCTTGGGATGGGAATTCTTCAAAGAAGGAGCCAAGCCAGAGGTGCTCAGGAGCTCAGATGGGCAGACTTGGATCAAAAGAACACAGGAAATGATTTGTTACTTGAAAAAAAAGCAGCCCCTCCCAAGGAAGCCATGTGAACTGCTTAGTCAATGTTTTGCTCAGCTGATGGGCTGTAGGAGGGGAGATACTCCCCCAAGAGGACCACGGAGGGGGCAAAAAAGAGCAGACCCCATCCACGAGGCTAATCCTTGCTTCCTGGAGGGGTGACGACAAGTGCCAGGAAGAGCGTGGGAAGATTCAATGGAACAATGTTCCTAAAGCGCTTTACAGAGCCCTGCTACAGTCACCATCACTGTGGGTGATGCTCATTCATTGCTGGAGTTATCGATGGTGCTGGGCAGAGGTGACTCATTCTCGGTCACCGCTGAACAATGGTTGTTGGGCTGTTGGTGCTGCTGGCGGTGACCGTGTTTCTTGTGGGTGTGCTGGTGGTAGTGATGGCTGCTTTCGGTGCCAGCTAGTGTGGAATGTTTGCGGTGGGTAGTGGGTCATTGTCAGGGTGGATCCGCAGAACGATGGCGGTTGGTGGGGGCGGGGAGTGAGGTTAAGGGTGACCGTTTGTAAAAAACAGACCAAAAAAGCAGGGAGACCTTTGATGTGGCTGCTTGGTCCGCAGCCAGCAGCCGTGGGGATGGACAGAGAAGGCTGTTGGCCAAGAGAGAGAGTTGGGGCGGACTCTAGAAGGACAGGGGTCCCCACCTGTCCTCTCCAGTCAGGCCAAAACTGAGAGCTCTTCCCCCAAGAGAGGGGGGACCTCAAGAGCCTTTGGAGGCAAGGATGCTGTTTGCGCAGTGCAGGGATGCAGGGTGCGGCCCCGGAACCCCACTGAGATGGGGGAGGACAGGACCAAGGCTGCAGGGACACACCGGGTTGGGGGCTGGGGGACAGGAGCTGGGGGCCAGCCCCAGCAGCGGCTGCCAGGGCCGCTTCACATCTGCTCCCTGCTTGTGACCACAGCTCGCAGGACCCCAACGAGGAAGGAAGTGGCTGTTTCGTTGTTCTCTCCAGTCTGGGGCTCTTCTCATCAGCACCCAGGAGCAGGGAGGCCAGAGCAGCTAGGGCAAATTGCAAAAGCTCCCGCTTCCAGCCCCTCCCCCTGGCCTTGCACGCTGAGCCTGTGGGACCAGCCAGCTTAAGGCTACTGCTGCTGGGCGTGGTGAGGATGGCTCCCGTTTCCGCTTCCCAAGCCTGACCTTGTTGGATCTGCACGGCTAGATGCCCCGTGAGGTCTACAGCCCTCAGTGTCCCCATTTTCCCGATGAGGAAATAGCCATCACTGTTTCCAGATGAGGAAATAAACTTCCCTTCCAGGGAGGGTCAGTGAGCTGCTGTCAAGCCCCAAAGTGGCGGAGGATGTCAACTCAGTGACTCCTAAGGTCGCGCTTTCATCAGCCACCTTGACCTGCAACCTCCTGATCCTCCCTACAAGATGAGGGGCCATGGGGGCTTGGGGGTGCTGACCCCCACATGCCCCAGGCTGCCCATCCCTCCAGCCTCATTTGGATCTGGAATCTCCACCCCCAAAGAAACAGGAAGCTCCCCTCCCCCTGCCTTCTACCTTAGACTCGGGGTGGGGGGTCTCTCTGAAGAGCCAAAGTTAGAAGCTACCTCCCACCTCCCACTCTAGCCCTGACTCTCTTTCACAAGAACCCCATCAGGTTGAGTCATACTTGGCTTGTGGTCAACTGTGACCACAACATCTTCATTGCACCCCCGCCCCTAAGAAAGGGACTCAGAAATTCAGCTTCAACTTGATCTAGGAGACTTGGGAGTCACAGGGAGATGGGTACTTGTGATACAGGACAGGAGACAGCAGTCTCTTCCCCGTGGTACCTCATTCAGTCCTTCACTCCCTCAACAACCATCCATCCGCCAGCTCCTATATCTTCTGTCACCGATCACCTCCACTAAATGCTCTTGGGGCCACCAGCTGCCATTTCCTGAGGCTTCCGGTTCACCTCCTCTCCACACGGGCTCCCTGAATCCTCTCAGAGAATGAGTGGAGGAGGTTTATTATGGAATCCATTTTACAGATGGGAAAAAAGAGGCTTAGAGAAGGGAGGCGGCCTCCCCAAGATCACAGAGTCAGTCAACTGTCAAGCCGAGCCTCACACCCAGCTGGTCCCATGCCAAAATTCTTGACTGTCCTTCCATACTCTGTACTCCCTTGAGCAACACCCTCTCTCTCTCTACCACAAACAACACATGGTTTTTGTCCTCACAAGGGGCTAGGACTGGATCTGGAGGTTCCAGGTGCCCCGCTGGC